TCTATGTACAATTGATTTAGATAATGCTTACACCGCACTACTAATGTGACAGTATGTGATTGGCCAAGGAGAGAAAAGAAGTAAATAACCTATATGGAGATTTGGTCCCACTTTATATTAAGTGGCCTTAACTAACATGTACTTATACAGGAATTAATAGTTTGTTACAATGTACTTATTGTGTAAATACATGTATTTACTGTGTACTTATGCTTGATTAAATACATGTATGTTATTACATCTGTAATTAACTTTTGTAACTAAATTTGTAAATACAATGTTGACCCTCCCTTACACCTTAACCCACCCTTAAACCTACCCATACCACCAAACCTGTCCATAACCCAACCTCTATCCCAACTCAAAAGCACCACAAGTGTTCTCAAATACATTATAAACACAGTAAGTACATTGTATTTATTTTTTGATATAAGTACATTGTAGTTAATGACACTTAATATAAAGTGGGACCAGAGATTTTTATATAAGACTTTTCCAAAACTTTGTGAGTATTTCTGTTTTTCCAAAACTTTTCCAGGCCTGGAAAATGCCATGTCAAAATTACATGACTTTTCCTGGTTTTTCATGACTGTATGAACCCTGTAGTTTCTTGTAGTGTAACAAACTTTAGCCCACTATAAACATTAATTTTATTTATTTATTTATTTATTTATTTATTTATTTATTTATTTATTTATTTATTTATGTATTTATCATTAAGATGTGTGCAGGGCCCAGTTTTATTTTTGTCAAATATTTTTTTAAATTATCATTTTATCTTAGGGTGATGTGGTGGCACAGTAGGTAGTGCTGTTGTCTTACAGCAAGAAGGTTGCTGGTTCGAGCCTCGGCTGTGTCAGTTGGCAATTCCGTGTGAAGTTTGCATATTCTCCCTGCGCTCGCGTGGGTTTCCTCTGGGTGCTCCGGTTTCCCCCACAGCCCAAAGACATGCGGTATAGGTGAATTGGGTAAGATAAAATTGTCTTTTGTGTATGAGTGTGAATGAGAGTGTGTGGTCGTTTCCCTGTGATGGGTTGCAGCTGGAAGGGCATCCGCTGTGTAAAAACATACGCTGGATAAGTTGGCAGTTCATTCCACTATGGCGACCCCAGATTAATAAAGGAACTAAGCCGAAAAGAAAATGAATGAAGGAATATTTTATTTTATATCAGGTTCATCTCCTAGATAAACCATTTTTTTATTACAAAAACTTTGATTGATCACCTTTGATTAATAATACAAATTACATCACATTATGGCAAAAAAATATGTTTGTATGTGTTTATAAGGACATTTTGTCTTGAAAATTTTAACTTACAATACACAATATTAACAAGTCTCACACTTTAAAGTAGGGTTGTCGCGATACCATTATTTTGTCTTATAATACTATACCAGCTGAAGTATCGCAATACCAAATAGTATTGCAGTATTGTAATTCATAACTCAAATTATAAAGAAAATTGTCAGAAATACTATATTTTACATGTTATAATAGGTACTACTATTCTACTTGAATTTAATGTAAAATTCCCTTTTAACTGAAAAAAATATTATTTGCACATCACTTCACCTAAAATTTATTCAATCTTTTTGTTTATTTTGTAGACAACTGACCAACAAAAACACATTACAGTAAAGATACACATTATACAAAATGAACTTTGTTACAAAAAGAGCATTTTTCCAACAGAATTTGGCTATATCAGAATCGGTTTTACTGATGTGTGCTTTACACACACAAGGAATTTGTTATGGCTGCAGAAGCTTCCAGTGTACATAAAGTGACAAGTGACAACACAAAATAAATATGGAAAAATAAAAAGAAAGATGATAAACATTAAACAGAGATGCAGTTAGTCAAGAAATCTGGATGTTGAGTTGTATGGACAGATTTGTTTTAAATATACAGGTTATAAGGTGTTGTGTACAAATGCAAATGGAGAGTATTGCATTGTATATTGATATAAGGTGCAGTGTACAAGTGCGTATGGGAAAGTATTGCACATATTTATGGCACAATATGGGAATATTTAACTGTTCATGAGGTAGATGGCCTAAGGAAAGAAACTTTTCCTGTGTCTGGCTGTTTTTGTGCTTGGTGCTCTGAAGCACCGACCAGGTGGTAACAGTTTGAACAGGTAGTGTGCTGGGTGCGAGGCGTCCAGAGTGATTTTGCGAGCCCTTTTACTCACTCTGGAAGAGTACAGTTCTTGAAGTGTAGGAAGGGTAGTGCCAGTGATACGTTCAGCAGTCCGGACTATTCGCTGTAGTCTACGGAAGGCGGTTTTGGAAGCTGAGCTGAACCAGACGGTGGTTGAAGTGCAGAGGATGGATTGGATGATAGCTGAGTAGAATTGCATGAGCAGCTCCTGTGGCAGGATAACCTTTCTCAACTGACGAAGGAAGTGCAGTATTTGAGGTGGTCAAAAATAGTTTTAATGCTATTCAGAATTTTTCATCTATAATTATTATTATTATTATTATTATTAACATTATTTTTTTGTTTTCACTCTTATCAGGTAACAATCCAAAGTAAATAAAACTTCATTTTGTGACTCTTTTTAAGAAATTGTTGCGGTTGCTGTAGCTACTAAATCACATTGACAGGAGCTGATATGAACAGATTTAGGTGTGTGTTTGAAACGTCAGAAAACATCAGAAAATGTGCATCCTAAAGGGCTCCACAGACTATTAAAATACAATGTGAGCATTTTAGTGACTTTTCCACATGCAACATTATGTATTGTAGATAGACCGTTAATGTCGATACTACCGTTTACAAACTACCACAGTACTAGTACACCGTGCAACCTTACTTCATCTGAATATTTTGACTGTCTCTGCCTTATGTATCATATGTTCCGCTTAAATTATAATGAAATAATTGAGGCTAATTGTCATATTTTGTGTGTTTGCTAGTCTGTAAATAATCATTTGCATGAAATATCGATAGCGGCACGGTGGCTCAGTGGTCAGCACTGTCACCTCACAGCAAAAAGGTAGCTGGTTCGAGTCATGGCTCGGGACTTCGGAACTTTTTGGATTTAGTGGCTAATTCGTATGAATTCGTACAATCTAATTCATACAATTTAGTACGATTTGCTCATCACCCAATGATGGTTGGGGTTAGGGGTGGGGTTAGGTGGCTCATTTTTAAAATGGTAAATTTTCAAACGACTGAACTCGTACGAATTCGTATGAATTAGCCACTAAAATGGTGTGTACTCAATTATGCTAAACACTGTAAATATTCAGAGTACACTCTAAAAATGTTGAGTTGTTTTAAAGTAATTTTGTGTCAAATGCATCCCAAACCAAATTGTTGAGTTAAGAATTTAATTCAATCAATTAACCAAACATTTGGGCTTGTCCATATTTTCACACTAAATTGAGTTGAAACAATCCATTTTTCACTGAGTGTAAATATTGATATCATTCATTCACTTATTAATTTTCCTATGGCTTAATGTCTATTTCATAGGTCGCCACAGCAGAATAAACTGACAACTATTCCAGCATATATTTTTCGCAACGGATGCCCTTACAGCTGCAACCCAGTATTGGGAAACACAAATATACCCTCATTCACACACACTCATACACTACAGCCAATTTAGTTCATTCAATTCACCTATACCGCATGTCTTTGAACTGTGGGGGAGAGCGGAACACCCGGAGGAAACCCACATGAACACAGGGAGAACATGAATCCACACAAATGCCAACTAACCCAGTCAGGACTTGAACCAGTGACCTTCTTGCTGTGAGGCAACCTACTAAGCCGCTGTGCCACCCAAAATTAATATTGTAAAAAAGCTAAAATAATACAAAAAAAAAAAAAACATTAGTTCAATATTCATCATCATTCATCTAACTGTAAAAATCTGCAAACACCAAAAATAAAAAAAAAAACAGTTCAATATTAATCATCATACATCTAACTGTAAAAATCTGCAAACACCAAAAAAAAAAAACAACAACAAAAAAAAACAGTTCAATATTAATCATCATTCATCAAACTGTAAAAATCTGCAAACACTAAAAAAACAATAACCATTTAGTATTTCGGTATGGTGTGTGTATTTCAGTGAACTGTCTGTATGTTATACAATAGATTCACATAACCCAATATAGACAGAACCTAAAACATTGAACATGAATTCGCCATTAGCTGCCGTGAATCTATGGAAGTTTTTTCCTAACAAAATTAAAATGAAAATTCAAATGCTTAAAAGATCAAATGATAAATCAAATGCTCAAACTATAAATCAAATGCTCCAACCGACATTGCAAATGATAAATCAAATCCTCAAACTGACTCTGCAAATGATAAATCAAATGCTCAAACGGACTTTGCAAATGGTGAATCAAATCCTCAAACCGACTCCTCAAATGATAAATCAAATCCTCAAACTGACATCGCAAATGGTGAATCAAATGCTCAAACTATAAATCAAATCCTTAAATCGACATTGCAAATGGTGAATCAAATGCTCAAACAACTCTGCAAATGGTGAATCAAATGCTCAAACGACTCCGCAAATGGTGAATCAAATGCTCAAACAGACATCGCAAATGGTGAATCAAATGCTCAAACAGACATCGCAAATGGTGAATCAAATGCTCAAACAGACATCGCAAATGGTGAATCAAATGCTCAAACAGACATCGCAAATGATAAATCAAATGCAAATGAGGTGTCAATCAACCAGCATAGGCGGAGCTTTAAGGCGGAAGAGTTTGTTGTTGACAACAACCGGTAGCGCTACGACTTTTTCAAGGCGTTCAGATTTGCGTGCACTATTCCATGTCGTATCCGTATAAACTCGTGAAAGAGAAAGCGAGAAATCTCCTAATGCTTCTGTCCACATTCTGAAGTGTTCATCAGATGGGTACATCTATCACAGGAGGCCACGAAAACCATACGATAACCAAGATGATAAAAAAAAGTTACATAACTGACGTTAAGCGCAACTTTAAATAAATGGTAGGTTTATTAAACCTTAATTTAAAATAATATTTTATTACATAAGATATCCTTGTCAAATGTAACCTAATTTGTTGTTACCTTTATTGTGTAACTTTTTTATTCACATGTAGAACATGCTTAAAGTTAGTTTTCCAGTCTTGTTTGATTATATAATCATATATTCTTATATCAAAAGAAAATCTATTACATTTGTTCTGTTTTTGCTGTTTATGTTAATTGTTAAGATACAGCAATGTTTCCCTAAGCCTGTATGAAATTTTTATTTCTGCATAATAATGATTAATAATAATTGTTATTGATAACAATCCCATAATAATACAAATAAAATAGCAGGGACGGAACAATAACACCTATTACCATCAGTAACTTGATAACCCTACCTGATAGCCTTTCTAATGTTGGCACATTGGTACATCTGCACAAAGATGTCGGACAGCTGCTTGAAGATCTTCCTTTGGAGAAATTTTACACTCGAAAAATGTGAGTATTTACTCTAGACTGCAAAGCCCACCCCAACACTTACAAAAATAATAAATGCTGTTCACAAACACACACACACAAACACACACACACACACACACACACACACACACACACACACAGCTATGCATGAATAGTCACTAGACAAATGTAGCCAAGGTGAGTACATCTTAATTTCCAGTCAAAAAATGAAATAATGTAGTTATACATTATTGAAATTATTAATGTATTCATCAACAATTAAAGAAAATATGAATGTATGATTAAAAGAATTAATAATAGTAACCATGATAAATAAATACAAGTCAACAAGATACGAAACTAAGCTTTATTCAAACTTATTCAAACAATCATGTATTTCAGACAAAACCCCATGTTCTGCTGCATGCTGGACTTCTGGACTTCACTTGTTTTTGCCATCACATCCCATCAGTGCTGCAGTCAGACTGGAACAGAGTTGTGAGGTGAGGCTGTCCATGCCTGAGAAACCGATTCATACTGAAGATGAAGAGACCACACCAGCATCTGGCTCAGATGAGGACACGCAGGCAGGTGGAGGGATGCAGGGTCTTGTCCATGGCACTACAGCATCTTCAACATTTACTTCATCAGCACACTGCTGTTCTTCATCATCATCACTGCACACACCAGTCTGAGGACATTTCAGATTATGCAAAGCTCTTAATAAAGAAGTCATTTAACAGCACACTTTTTGAGTTTCATTTGAGTTCTGAATTGGAAGTAATAACATGATCTTACTTCATGTTTTGAATTCAGGTTTTCTCTGTTTTCTTGCCTTGCAAGTCCTGCTCCAGCCCAGAAATGGCATATAAATCAACATTAAAGAAATTGTTGTAATAGCAGTTTGAAACAACAATATTAAACAAATATGATGGTAGCATTTGTTCAGTCACTCTGCATCAGCTAACACACAAACATGTGTGCTTCCTTCTCTATAACAACCAGACAAGAGTCACGTTACCTCTGTGATTTGTGTGCTCAAAATTATACTTTCATAAATGTATCACCAAAAGAACAGAAGAAAACATTACTGTATTAATATTACATGTATCTCACCTAAGCTGTATTGACAAAAGTGCATTCTACATCAGCATAAACAAATCACTCAGACGTCTGTTTAATGTTATAATTTGCTAATCTGCTATACCTCCTATATTTTTCTGTCACACATTGAATAATCGTCTTTATGTAAATTAACGTTTGAAACGTCATGTGCTTACAGAAGTTCCTACATGATAATTTACAGCAAGATAAAATAAATATACTGTAAAGCATCTTTACACTTTCAGTAATTCTACAGTTCACTGTACAGTAGCTCAACTATTGCTATTTTACTGTAACTTAACTCAAGGAACCGTCTTTCTGGATTTAATTACTTGCATGTAAGAAGTCTAAATCCATCCAGTTTTCCACAATGTGACGTAGCATCATCATCTTTCCGTATGGTTTTTCGTGGCCTCCTGTGATAGATGTACCCATCTGATGAACACTTCAGAATGTGGACAGAAGCATTAGGAGATTTCTCGCTTTCTCTTTCACGAGTTTATACGGATACGACATGGAATAGTGCACGCAAATCTGAACGCCTTGAAAAAGCCGTAGCGCTACCGGTTGTTGTCAACAACAAACTCTTCCGCCTTAAAGCTCCGCCTATGCTGGTTGATTGACACCTTATTTGCATTTGATTTATCATTTGCGATGTCTGTTTGAGCATTTGATTCACCATTTGCGATGTCTGTTTGAGCATTTGATTCACCATTTGCGATGTCTGTTTGAGCATTTGATTCACCATTTGCGATGTCTGTTTGAGCATTTGATTCACCATTTGCGGAGTCGTTTGAGCATTTGATTCACCATTTGCAATGTCGATTTAAGGATTTGATTTATAGTTTGAGCATTTGAGTCACCATTTGCGATGTCAGTTTGAGGATTTGATTTATCATTTGCGATGTCAGTTTGAGGATTTGATTTATATTTTGAGGAGTCGGTTTGAGGATTTGATTCACCATTTGCAAAGTCCGTTTGAGCATTTGATTCATCATTTGCAGAGTCAGTTTGAGGATTTGATTTATCATTTGCAATGTCGGTTGGAGCATTTGATTTATAGTTTGAGCATTTGATTTATCATTTGATCTTTTAAGCATTTGAATTTTCATTTTAATTTTGATAGGAAAAAACTTCCATATGAATCAACACGGACTTGCTCAGTAAAACATGAGTGTTAAGGTCTACATTTCAGGACTTATTCAAGTTACAAAAGACAAACCAAAAAGTAAAGTGTTAGGACTAAAAGCAGGTCCTTTACTGCTGCAATCTCTCTTATAGGAGTTCGCACCTCATTAGCAAGTACAAATCTTGTGGGGGCGAGAGGGTGATGGAGAGGAAAGAGAGGATGAAAGGCGAAAAAAAAGGAAGAAGAAGTACGAAGTAAAAGCGTCTGAGGGAGAGGAGAAAGAGCACAGAGGTGTATTAGTGTTTACAGAAGTGAACAGTCGCCCAGTGTCTCTGAAAGCCGAATTGGGTTCTAGTTCTTGCACATGCTTCATTGCGAATGCATAAGAGAGCAAATATCAGCGTAATGCCGCGTCTGAGGTAACGTCTGTCTGATCGCGCCTCTAATGCCGCTTTTCTTTCCGTGTATGAAAAATAATGCCGCAGATGAAGCGAGGAAGAAGCGAATGGCTGTGGATATGGTGCGAGGGGTCGTCGTTTGAGAAGAACCCTCTGCATTAACATTCATAATTACCTACATGGCGAATCTGATATGGTTCATTTACCAGCAGAGTGGGGAAACAAGCTGTCAGGAGTGTGTTCTTTAATTAAGAATACGACGCTGCAACGTGTCCCTCATGACCGCTAATGGAAGTGTTAGTTAATTCACTTATCTAGGCATGAAATTCTTAATGCTTCCTCGATAACATGAAGTGGAAAGTCTTTTTTTTTTTTTGGTTAACATACAAATGGGTTTGCACATACCGTGTAGGACTGTATAGCTAATATACAGCGAATTTATAGCTAAATTCGTTTTAAAATCTGTGTTATTTATATTGTGCAATGTATATTTATAAGGATTTTGTGCATGTTATATTTATTGAAAAGGGAGACAACAGTAAATTGTTGTATAGCGCTGTAATGTTTAGACAATATTCTGTTAAAAATATAAAGTCAAACACCCCAGTTCACCCTAGTAGGATATATCCTGGTGCATTTCCTTTATGTGCCAGGTAACCTCTGATTGGGTCGGCCCATCTCGAAACCATACGGACGTTGCAGATTGTGCCAATGCTTAACATTTATTATTATTATTACTATTATTATAATCATCATAATATTCACATCTTGCAAGAGATAAAAGCTGCCTGCATGTAAAAAAAAATACATTAAAAAAAAAATTTATTCAAAAAAGCTGACCGGCCCACATTTAAAAAATGGTCCGGCCCTTCTGGCATTTGCCAGAACTGCCAGATGGCCAGCCGCCCCTGCACAAAAATCTCTAAATGCATTAGTCTATCATACAGAACATTCTGGAAAATGTGTTTTAATCCCATAGGATTGCATGCAAAAAGCGTACAAAAATAAGACATCACTTATCAGTAACCCATCACTGTAATCATAATTATTTTTTATTTTTTAACATTTAGTTTTGGCATTTTTGCTTTTATTAGCTAGGACAGTCATGAGACAGGAAGCGAAGTTGGAGAGAGAAAGAGAGGGAGGGTAGGGTTGGGAAATGTCCTCAAGCCGGGAATCGAACTCGGGACGTCCTGACACACTACCATATGTCAGTGCGCTAACCACTAGGCTATTGCGCCGACACTGTAATCATAATTTGATTGAAGTTGTAGATATTTTACTGCACTTGTTTTCATTTCAGTTAGAAACTGCAGTAAACTGTGTGTATAGTATAGGTGTCGTTTTTTAACAATTAACTTGATAAAACAATATATTTTTGAGGTGTTTTACATATAGAGCATAACCATTTTCAATATAAAGCACCGAGTGTGTTAATTTCTAGAGGAATCTTCCAGTTTTTATGTGTGATCTTATTTTAAGGATGTCTCTTTCTCTAGTTATGTCCTTGTTTTGATATGAATCTTCTGTAGAGCCGTGTTTTGAAGTGAAATGTCAGAAGTTCAATATCTGCTCACCACGAGTTTGAAGAAAAGCGGCTTAATTGTTCAAGGTTGCGGGTGTTTTAATCAAGGCATGATCAAATACGTCGACAGCCCTGGCTGTAAATAATACATTAATGCCCATACAAAGGCAGCCCCACAGGCGGTGTGCGGAGCGGTAAGCACTGGGGGAATAATACATGTCCTCAGGTTATGCAGCACTTTTCTGCTGAGTCGACGGAGCGAGAGGAAGTTGAGGAAAAACGGCTCGCTATGAAGTTACAGAACTCTTCTCAAGGGTGATGGGAAGGCTGGCCAAAGTCACTCTTCAAAGGGACCCGAATATCCTCTGCTTCTCTCTGAGAGTCCAAACACAGGGGACGATTCAAACACTTAGCAGCATAAATGTTTATAGGAGCAGCCTCTTCCAGTCAATATGAGTGAAGAGTGATCTGGTTGGAAATACTGCTGCCTTTGTTCCTTGCTTGGCCCAGGCATCGCTCCTGAGGACCTGGGCCTTGGTTTTGCGTCTTTGATCATCATAGTCTCTTTCGTCTTCTGTTTTGGTCTCGATGTAAAGGGACAGGGCTTTTCGATTGTTTGCATCTCGTTCGCTTAAGTCATGATGCAACGGCCTGCGTGTTGTTTGCCAGTGTTGTTTGGCAGAGATAGTGTTTGGCAGTGCTCGGCGTTGGCTCAGATCTGTAGATAAGAGTTTATATACAGACAACGCCATAAGTGAGGTCTTGACCTGAACGATTTAGTTTTGCAAACAATAGGTTTAATTAGAAAGGAGGGTGGATATAAATGGGTGCCAACCGACTACATACTGTATTTGTGACCCCGAACCACAAAACATAAGTCGTAAGTGTAATTGTTTGTTCGGAAATTGAGATTTATACATAATCTTTAAGCGGAATAAATAAGCTTTTCATTGACGCATGGTGCAATAGTTGGCTGAGATACAACCATTTGAAAATCTGGAATCTGAGGGTTCAACAAAATCAAAATAATGAGAAAATTGCCTTTAAAGATCTTTGCAGTGCACATCACTAAACAAGCATAAAGTTTTGATGCATTTACAGTAAGAAAATGGAAAAAAAAATGTCTTCATGGAACATGTCCTTTACTTAATATTATTCTCTGTTTTGGCATAAAAGTAAAATCAATCATTTTGACCCTCTTCAATGTTTTTGTTTTTTGGCTATTCCTAAAAATATACACGTGCAATATAAGACTTTTTTGTGGTCCAGGGTCACATATTACTCCCTTTTCAATCATTTCTGGGGTGCATTTCCCAAAACTATTGTTAGCAAACTAAGGTCGCAAGTTCAGTGATTACAAACATAGTTTGTTATTTGGCGTTTCCCAAATCCGTCCTTCCAACGAACATTCGATAACTGTGTTGCAAACTTGAGCACTTGCAACTGCACCTCTGTAGCTGTAGTTAAAAACATAGTTCCTGGCTGTGTTCTATTCCCACTTACCCCCCATGCCCTATTTGTTTAGAAGATTCTAACATTCAAAGTTGGAATTTTTACAAGCATTAAGGTCATCTCTCTTAGCTGTAATT